CATGGGAGGACAAGAAAGCGTGGGAGAGGGAAGGCAGAAGTAAGACCATGCTACAGCTTAGAGGCATTGTGTGGAGTTTGGACCTTATCAAGGACTATGGAAATCCACCGGTGAGTGCTAAGCAAGTAATTGTTATGAATAAATTTGGGTTCTGAGAAAATTGCTCTGAGTGGATTGGAGAGGGGATGAAGGAATCCAGATGGAGAGAGCAGCTTGAACTGGAAAGGTTGCGATGTCTATAAAACATTTCCAAAGTACAGTAAAGTCAGTCAGGCTAACAAAATACTTCCTTTCAGCATTTAGTCTGAAATGAGTCTCGTTATTTATGTTTAGAGGAACACTGTCTTCTAGAATGCCTGGTGTGATTCAATTGAGTGCAGTGTAGCTTAGAGGAAGTACAGAGAGCTGAATGAAGGTCGAACATGATAGTGGGACAAGAGGGCAGCAAAAGGAAATAGAGGAAAGAACTAGGAGGCAAAAGACATTTATGGAAGTATAAACAGGTATGTCCATATGTAAATATATTAATATGTAACGAGAGGGATCTAAGTCTATGCACATGTATTTATAGGTTAAGTGTTAAGGTAGCAGGCAGACATTGGGCCTCTACTCAGTCTTCCCTCAATGCAAGAACTCTTTGTTCTAATAACCTGGCATTCTGTGATGCTCACCTTTCTGACACGATCACTGAAGACAAAATGGGTGCATAAGCTAATGTGGTGAAGAAAGCCGAAGGTGCCAGCTATTACAAGATATAGTATCTGGGGTCTTAAAGGCTTGAAGTTAAACAAATGATCATCTAACAGGGAAGCAAATAGCCCACATGTAAGAAGCACACCAACCCATGTGATCACGAGGTATCGATGGGATCATCAGAAGATGTAAAACAGACAACCATTTCAATGTGAACGAGGGGGGTCGGAATGGAGACCCAAAGCCCACCGTTGACAACTGGACATCCCCTCAGAGAAGAGTCACACAGAAGGGACGAGCCAGCCCGGGTGCAGTGTAGCACTGATAAAACACACAGCATTCCTCTAGTTCTTTTTTTAAAATCATTTTATTGGGGGCTTGTGCAACTCTTATCACAATCCATCCATCCATCCATTGTGTCAAGCACATTTGTACATTTGTTGCCATCATCATTCCCAAAACATTTGCTTTCTGCTTGGGCCCTTGGTATCAGCTCCTTGTTTTGCACCTCCCTCCCCTCTCCCCCCTCCCCCATGAACCCTTGATAATTTATAAATTATTATTATTTTGTCATATCATACCCACTCCCTTCACCCACTTTTCTGTTGTCCATCCTCCAGGGAGAAGGTTATATGTAAAACCTTGTAATCGGTTCCCCCTTTCCACCCCACCCTCTCGGTATTGCCACTCTCAGCACTGGTCCTGAAGGGATCATCTGTCCTGGATTCCCTGTGTTTCCAGTTCCTATCTGTACCAGTGTACATCCTCT